AAAAAAAAAAAAAAAAAAAAAAAAAAAAATATATATATATATATATATATATATATATACTGTATATATTTATAATAATCAGTGGCTCGAGTGGACCAACAGAACATAATACTTTACAGATTTCAGGTCATAGGGTGTAAACATTATTAATCATTTAATTTCCTTTTCTTTAAATGCAATTTTACCAACTGTGCAAGATAATACAGAAACGGTCATCTCACCTACAATAATCATCAAATGCCATCAGTTATTAAAATCCTTTTAAACCAGATGAAACACAATAAAAAGAAACAAAATGTTGTAAGACTCAATCTTTCTATTATATCTTTCCAATATGCCTTGACTTATAGTTTCCCATGGAACGGCATTCCTTCACTGTATGGTGGAGAAAACTTTCAGAAGGAGGTCAGAAGCAAGGCCGGGTGATATATCTCCACACGTGACCCTTCGTTCCATCTCTGGGAGCTCAGCACGTACCGCTGGATGCTGCTGGAAGTGGCATAGAGCGTTCTCCTGGATCAGATTCCACAACCACACCTTCTGCTGAGTTTGCCGGTGGACTGGGAGCTCCCCGCTGCTCAGCATTGCATCCCGGAACTGTAGCATGGTATTCCACAGCTCAGGCACACCCTGCCCCGTCTGAGAAGATATGCGGACCACCTGACCACACGTGGGAAAGAGTGGAGAGAAAGAGAGAGAAAGCACATAAAATGTGTTGGTGCAGATGTGGAGAGCTAAAGAAAGATAAAAACAGAAAGCAGAGGAAGAAATGAACAGAGAGAATGGAAGCAGGCAGATGCTATTCTTTTGAGCAGCCAGAATGTGGAAATATAAAGAGTGTTCGCCCACACACATCACTCCATCCTCGTTTTCAGTGAAAGACCTATATACTAGAGTCTTTAGGGAGGGCGAAAAAAATCAATATGACCGTCGCATTCTCCAGTACAGGAATGGAGCTCAGAAATCATGCTGCTCAGAGGAGACAAAGGCTTTAGCGGTTTTCATCCATGTGGGTGGCCTCTAATCAGTAAAATGCATGAGGCAGCATTTGGCCATTCAAAGGGCTGCCTATGTTGGCTCTATGCCCTGCAGGTAAAAGTAATACTGGGGGTGAGGGGACAAAAAGGAAAGACTTTACAACGCAGAGCAGAGCATGATGGGAAAAGACAACAGACTACTCCCGCTGGCCAGGATGGATGTTTTGAACAGAGAATGAAGATATATAAATACACATACATTTACATATACATGCATAAATAAAACACATTTAACATGGAAGCAATTCTTATATTGGAGGAAGGGGATATGTTTTAAAATAAGGAAAGGGCTATAAATACACAACTGGAAAGGTGAAAGTGAAGTGACATGTGGCCAAGTATGGTGACCCATACTTGGAATCAGTGCTCTGCATTTAACCCATCCAAAGTGCACACACACAGCAGTGAACACAGACACACCGTGAACACACACCCGGAGCAGTGGGCAGCCATTTATGCTGCGGCGCCCGGGGAGCAGTTGGGGGTTCGGTGCCTTGCTCAAGGGTGCCTCAGTCGTGGTATTGAAGGTGGGAGAGAGCACTGTACATTCACTCCCCCCACCTACAATTCCTGCCGGTACGATACTCGAACCCGCAACCTTTTGGGTTACGAGTCCGACTCTCTAACCATTAGGCCACGACTTCCCCCACAACTGGAAAGGTTGGGGTCAGTAAGATTTGTAAAAGGTTTTTCTCTTGCAGTCACCAAGGCTGCATTTATTTGATTAAAAATACAGTAAAAACAGCAATATTGTGAAATATGATTGCAATTAAATTTGAATATATTTTAAAATGTAATTTATTTCTGTGATAGGAAAGCTGTATTTTCAGCATCATTACTCCAGTCTTCAGTGTCACATGATCCTACAGAAATCATTCTAATATACTGATTTGCTGCTCAAGCCCGGGGGAGCGGTGGGGGTTGCGGTGCCTTGCTCAAGGATGCCTCAGTCGTGGTATTGAAGGTGGGAGAGAGCACTGTACATTCACTCCCCCCACCTACAATTCCTGCCGGTACGATACTCGAACCCGCAACCTTTTGGGTTACGAGTCCGACTCTCTAACCATTAGGCCACGACTTCCCCCACAACTGGAAAGGTTGGGGTCAGTAAGATTTGTAAAAGGTTTTTCTCTTGCAGTCACCAAGGCTGCATTTATTTGATTAAAAATACAGTAAAAACAGCAATATTGTGAAATATGATTGCAATTAAATTTGAATATATTTTAAAATGTAATTTATTTCTGTGATAGGAAAGCTGTATTTTCAGCATCATTACTCCAGTCTTCAGTGTCACATGATCCTACAGAAATCATTCTAATATACTGATTTGCTGCTCAAGAAACATTTCTTATTATATGTTGAAAATTTTTATTTTTATTTTCTTTAATGAACAAAGTTCAAAAGAAATAGAGTTCTGGCATGAAACTCTAGATGGCACAGTCCGATAGGTCTAACTCAATCTGACCTAATGACATCATTATCACATGGCACATCTGATTGGTTCTCTCCTGTTTCGGTAGCCAATGAGCACGCTGCTCAACATTCAAATATATGACTAGTGCTTGCCGTAGCAGTTTGCTTCAGAAACCCTCCACCTTCCCCAGCTCCACCTGTATAGATCTGCTACAAGGTTATTCATGTATGCTATATGGGGGTTATTTCATGTATGTCATATTTGCAGCAGCAATATTTCTTACATGCTCACAGCAGCATGTTGTGGATGTATTGGCAGTAGCAAGTCTCGGTACTTGCTCTGCCGCAGCAGCGTTGCAAATATATTCCGCCAAGACCAAATACATTAAGATTGTCATGTACATTACCATGCCAATCCCTCCGAGAGTTGTCATGACAGAACAGCATTTATTTGAAATAGAGGTCTTTTGTGACAACGTAAAACACTTTACTGTCACTTTTGATCAATTTAATGCATCCTTGCTGAATAAAAATATTATTTTCTTTAAAAAAAAAAAAATCTTACTGACCCCAAACATTTGAATGGTAGTGTATATGTGAATTTTTCCAAACTGTCACCCTCTAACATCTACTAAAATCTGCTGTTAATAGTCATTTCCTTTAAACAAGATGGGCCTTTGCAGATTTGATGGTCATATTTTATTTCACTAAAATTAAAAAAATATATATTTTGTTGTAGACTATGAGCAAGTTGTGAATGTAAAGCATGATTATAAAGCCGCACACCTTCGGTTTCCAGACTTTGGACTTCTTTCATAGTAACTTCAGGGCACTTGTGTATTCTGCCTGTATCCTCCGTGCTGGAACAACCAATTCACCGTCTGATTTTGTGACCACCACCAAGTCAGCCATCTCAATAATTCCTCTTTTTATTCCCTTTTTGAAAATACAGTTTAATCCACTCCAGCAAAATTTTCTCAAACAAACAAAAATTTACAATATAAGAATCACCTATGATATAAAACATAATACGTTCAGATTATTCATATAATGTTTTATGGCAGTGGTTCGCAATCTTTTGATAATACATTTAACAAATATATCTTATTTTCTAATACTAATTTTTTATGTTTTAGTCACAATTTCTCCCCAATAAAAATATTTATTTAAAAAGAATTAAAATTGAAATTGAAATACAATCTTAAAGCCTCCATGGAAGTTTGCTGAGGCCCCTGGCTCCTTGGTTGAGAACCACTTCTGTGGCAATAGAGATCAAGTAATGGAAGTGTGTATACCTGTAGTTCATCGCCCCCTGCTGGTGGGATCAGCAGCACAAACATATCCACCATGTCAGCCACAGCAAACTCAGACTGACCAACACCTGTTTAAAGATTTAAACTTAAGTGACACTGCAGAGTTACTTTGCATACACAGATGTTAAGATTACTCTAAATTAAAAACACAACGAAAAACTGGAACAACGGCTTACCCATGGTTTCCACTAATACAATATCATAGCCTGCACCCTCACAGAGGACTATGGCTTCGTTGGTGGTTCTTGTCACACCACCCGAGGGTTCCTGATGTGGGAGATGGACGGATGTAAGCGTTCATGTCTCTGGAGAGCTCTGTCATTCGTGTTTTGTCCCCCATCAGTGAGCCTGCATACAAAGTTAGCTATATTGTAGATTAACTGTTGATTAAGAAATTAGTATTTTTATTCAGAGAGGATGCATTAAATTAATCAAAAGTAGAAGTGAAGACAAATAAATGCTGGTTTTTTTCTATTCATCTAAGAATCCAGAAAAAAAGTATCACGTCTTCCATGAAAATATGAAGCTGCACAACTGTGTTCAATATAAACAAAAATAAGAAATATTTGTTGAGCAGCAAATCAGCATATTAGAATGATGTCTGAAGGATCATGTGACACTGAAAACCCAAGTAATGGCTTCTGAAAATTCTGCATTGCGTCACGGGAATAAATTATGTTTAAAAAAACATTCAAATAGAAAAAAAAAAGTAATTTTAAATGGCAATATTATTTCACAATATTACTGTATTGTATTTGTGATCAGATAAATGCAGTCTTGATGACCATAAGATCAAAAAATGGCTTTCAAAAACAAAAAGAAAATCTTATCAACCCCAAACTTTTGATTAGTGATGTATGTGTGCACAGCTTCAGCAGTGAAAATGACATTACTGTTCTGAAAATATTATGATGTCTATGTCATGATGTGGGAAGATTTGCCTAACGCCGCTCAAATATCCACGCAAAGAAAGAAGGCGTAACTTTTATTCTCGCTGTAGTATTGTTGTTGCCGCCGCCGCCATGTCGTGAAGGTGCTGTGTGTTTCGTTGTGAAAGTGAAACTACTTTGTTTGGTCTTCCAAAAGAGGACGATATCCACTTCGTCATGCCTGGAGCTGATCCGTGCTGGTCGCTGAGGAAATACATCAACTTCACGCTGTGGATCGCCGGATCGGCTTTCACCGTGCACGAAGCGGAGTCCAGCCCGGGGTCGTCACATATGGTTGCCGCAAGTCCGCCGGCCCGCCCGCCCGCCTCCGCTCACTCAAGCCGGCCTCTGCTCACTCTAGGCCTCAGGCCTCCGCTCACTCAAGGACGTTGTGTGTGACGCTTTTTCGTTGTGAAAGCGAAACTACTTTGTTTGGCCTTCCAAAAGAGGACATGACTAGAAATCAGTGGTTAAGTTGTATTTACAACACTTTTCCACTGTTTTGGGCAGTGTAGAGTAGCACTTGTTGTTTGTCATTTCTTCAATCACAAATGCAGACATGGTTTTATGTTACGCTCCGGCCGGACAAGGCATCACAGTATGGTAAGGGGCGTAACATTTCCGTCACACGCTTGAGGCATTCAGCCAATCACAATGTACTGGATAGCTGTCCAATCAGAGCACACCTTGCTTTTCAGACCGATGAGCTTTGTAAAAATCGACGCGTTTCAGAAAGGCGGGGCATAGAGGAGAAACAATAATGTACAGTATGTGGAAAATAATGTGTTTTTTTAACCTTAAACCGCATAAACACATTTTATTACACCAAATACACAAAATAATGTTCTTTTTAGCTACATCATATGACCCCTTTAAGTCACTTGGGTATATTTTTAGCAATAGCCAAAAAAACATTGTATGGGTCAAAATTATCGATTTTTCTTTTATGCCAAAAATCATTAGGATATTAAGTAAAGATCATGTTCCATGAAGATATTTTGTAAATTTCCTACCATAAATATATCAAAACTTAATTTTTGATTAGTAATATGCATTGCTAAGAACTTCATTTGGACAACTTTAAAGGCGATTTTCTCAGTATTTTGATTTATTTTTTTGCACCCTCAGATTCCAGATTTTAAAATAGTTGTATCTCGGGCCAAATATTGTCCTACCCTAAAAAACCATACATCAATGGAAAGCTTATTTATTCCGATTTCAGATGATGTATAAATCTCAATTTCGAGAAATTGACCCTTATGACTGGTTTTGTGGTCCAGACTGTCCAGGGTCACAATTATGTCAAGATGAAAATTTGTAACCACATAAAAACCGACTAAAGTGACTTACAGACTCATGTATACATATCCAAACATCTAAAGTAGAAAGATAAAACTGGCACAAGCATCTTTTGGTACCGAAACGTTTTGACACTTTCTGTCTGTTCACCTCCAGTTGTGCACGAAGAAGGATCCACAGCCACTACTGACACTTTATGTCCTCTTCCTGTCAGCATTTTCTCAACGACCTCAATGAATGAAGACTTTCCAGCGCCAGGGGGACCAGACAGTCCTGAATTCACACATACAAAGATGTGATTGAAGATTGAGGCAATCATGCAAACAGCAATAAGGTTCAGCTTCACTCCTACAGTTCACGTCACCTTACTGACCCACTCTGAAGGCCACTGGATTTCCACCATTGCGTTTCTCCAGCTCCTGACGGAAGGCCAGCATTCTTTGAAGCAGAACCTGGGCCAACTCTTTCTTCCTTGGATGCTGGGTCTCCACAATGGTTATAGATTCAGCAAGAGCTGCCCTTTGACCTCCGATAAGTCCATCATAAAGCTATACGTATATATATATATATATATATATATATATATATATAGTGTAAGTGACATTTGTAAGTGAAAGGAGGTGTTTATCCTCCTAGGAAATTAACTAAATATCACATGACAACTTTTCAATGAGGTAAAATTGTAACACTGTTACCAAAATTTGCAAAGTAGAGTTTAAAACACTTACTTATTGACTATAATTATTATTTTCTAGAAATAAACAGACAAGAAATGTAGAATAACATTCTGAAATAAATAACAGGGGTGCAAATTTAGCCTAAAATAAGCAGTGACTCATTTTGTTTGGAACAAAATGTTTGTAGTTTTACGGTATAATTTTTTTATTTTTTTTATTGACCTTTGATGTGAAACGTTTTAGGCCAAAATTTTAGGTGACAGATATGTGATGCTTTTTTTTTAAAGTAACTACTTTTAATGCTATAATACCTTATCAAACATATCTAATACTGAATTATTATCTTAAAAGCAGAGGATATGTGTATTTACTGAGAAATACAGAGATTAAACAAAATGATAGATTCTGAAAGCTTTTTACATTACAATATGAAAATGCCAAATTAGTTCATGATAATTTTACAGTGATAACAAAAACTGTAGAAACCAGGATATTTTGGCGAAAAAATATAGCTACTTACCATGGTAAATTGTAAATTATATGATCAGTCCGATCACAGAAATGACAGCGTGTTCATTGAATCAGACAAGACAGGTAAACAAACTGAAAATCTGGAATAGAAAACATCATCAAAGCTTGCCAAGTTTCCTTAAACCGTCTCTCTATCGTTTTAAGCCCATCTGTGGTTCAGGTTCTGTCTTCATTTGGGCAGATTGATTAATAAGGGAAACAGTCTTGTATCTCACCGTTTCTCCAAATCAGCTAAGTTAAGTGACGAACGTTTTTTTTTCAAAATAAAAGTGTTCCCTCTTCAAAATTAAAACATTCGCACAAAAAAAGCAACCTAAACAAATCCTGTCACGGACGGCCCCAGAGTCTCTCCAGTCCCAGAGCTCATTTCATGACCACTCCAGTTCAAAAGATTCTTGTTTTGGCCACTCCATCCACCTCAGAGGTTCGTAATATGGACACCGCAGAAGTTCCTGCCAAATTTTTCTCCAGTGGTTCTCCACCTCAAAAGTTGCTTTCAACAGTGTCTTGGCATTTCCTGTTGAAGCTGACAAGGTAGCAGATCTCCCTGTCATGGAGGTCTCAGAGGTTTCTTGTTCCTGCCCATGAATGAATGGGAAAAAACTCCAGAAGGAAACATCTACAGTAAAGTTTCCAGAAAATATGTTGTCTTATGTCTCTTGGAGGGCTCTCTTCCTGCAGACTTCATTTCCAACCCTTCTCCATCCCACTTAGCTGTTACTTTCCTCAAGTAATCCTGAACACCTTGATTAGCTGGTTCAGGCTAATGTGCCCTTCAAGTGGAGTCCAAAATACCGTAATTACCAATTCCGAGCACATGAATGACCAAGTAAAGTTGTAAGTTAAGTGGGAAACTTGGAATTCTAGAAGATACACAAGTTACATGTGATGTTGAAAGGGGCATGTTGATTTGAAATGTGGCAGAAGCACTCTCTCTCTCTCTCTCTCTCTCTCTCTCTCTTGCTTGGTGAATGGACAGTTACCTTTAAGCTGCAGAAGGGCAGTTCTTACATTATTGCCCAAGAAAGGTGATTTAAATGATATAAAAAATTGGAGGCCTGTTAGCTTGTTGTGTACTGATTATAAGTTACTTTCCAAGGTTCTGGCTAACAGGTTGAGTGAAGTTCTTAGTCATATTATTCACTCTGACCAAACTTATTGTGTTCCAGGAAGGCATATATATTTGATAATATCTCCTTTATCAGAGCTATTTTAGATATCGGTAAAAATTTTAAGTTGAATTTTGGCCTAGTGTCTATTGATCAAGAAAAAGCCTTCGACAGAGCGGAGCACACATATTTGTGGAACACATTAACAGCCTTTGGTTTTAATAATAATTTTGTGTCCATGTTAAAAGTTTTGTATAATGAAAAAAAATTAATGGGGATTTATGTGCCCCTTTTAAGGTCTTCAGAGGTATCGGGCAAGGCTGCGCCTTATCTGGCATGTTGTATACTTTGGCCATAGAGCCACTCTTAATCAGAATAAGAGCAAAACTATGTGGACTAGCTGTTCCGAATTGTACAAATGTATTTAAACTGTCTGCATATGCTAATGATGTTGTTGTTTTAATTAATGGGCAAAGAGATGTGAATATGTTGTTGGAAATTTTGAATGATTTTAAAGAGTTTTCTGCCACAAAAGTAAATTGGTCTAAGAGTGAAGCAGTACTGGTTGGAAGCTGGCTCAATGTAGGGCCAAGGTTTCCAGTATTTTAGATATCGGTAAAAATTTTAAGTTGAATTTTGGCCTAGTGTCTATTGATCAAGAAAAAGCCTTCGACAGAGCGGAGCACACATATTTGTGGAACACATTAACAGCCTTTGGTTTTAATAATAATTTTGTGTCCATGTTAAAAGTTTTGTATAATGAAAAAAAATTAATGGGGATTTATGTGCCCCTTTTAAGGTCTTCAGAGGTATCGGGCAAGGCTGCGCCTTATCTGGCATGTTGTATACTTTGGCCATAGAGCCACTCTTAATCAGAATAAGAGCAAAACTATGTGGACTAGCTGTTCCGAATTGTACAAATGTATTTAAACTGTCTGCATATGCTGATGATGTTGTTGTTTTAATTAATGGGCAAAGATATGTGAATATGTTGTTGGAAATTTTGAATGATTTTAAAGAGTTTTCTGCCACAAAAGTAAATTGGTCTAAGAGTGAAGCAGTACTGGTTGGAAGCTGGCTCAATGTAGGGCCAAGGTTTCCAGATGGGTTATCCTGGACTAAAGAAGGTTTTAAGTATTTGGGAGTGTTTTTGGGGAATTAAATGTTTATGCAGAAACATTTTGAAGAAATTATTGAAAAGGTCAAAGGTCGCCTTGTTAAATGGAGGTTTTTGCTCCCTAAAATGTCGTATAAGGGACGAGTATCACTGGTTGGAAGCTGGCTCAATGTAGGGCCAAGGTTTCCAGATGGGTTATCCTGGACTAAAGAAGGTTTTAAGTATTTGGGAGTGCTTTTGGGGAATTAAATGTTTATACAGAATCATTTTGAAGAAATTATTGAAAAGGTCAAAGGTCGCCTTGTTAAATGGAGGTTTTTGCTCCCTAAAATGTCGTATAAGGAAATGTCATATAAGGGACGAGTATTGATCATTAACAACCTAATTGCATCTGCTCTTTGGCATCGATTGATTTGTGTGGATCCTCCACGAGACCTACTGCCAAGACTGCAATCAATTTTAATAGACTTCTTTTGGGACAAGATGCACTGGGTACCCAAATCTGTTTTGTACCTAACCAAAGAGAAAGGAGGACATGGTTTAATGCATGTGCAGAGCAGGATAGCGGCCTTCAGGATTCAATTCATTCAAAGGCTGCTGACTGGTCCAGTAGACTCAAGTTGGAAGTCTGCTGCCTGTGCCATTTTGCGAGGATTTGGAGGTCTGGACTTTGAGAGATCTTTATTTTGGTTAGATCCGCAAAAGATGGACTTGTCGAAATTACCCATTTTCTATTGGAATTTATTCAAGGTTTGGTCTCTGTTCAAAGTGCAGAGACATGACACTATAACTTCTCTACATTGGTTGCTCCAGCAACCTCTGATTTATGGATCACGCATGGATTTATCAAATGAGGGGATTTTCCCTTCTGTCAATGAGATACTTCTCAATGCTGGAGTTTTAACATTTGGACATTTGTTTAAACTGGCTGGATTGGCCTTGAGAATGTTGATGCCGTCACCAGTTGTTTGGGGGTAAAGTC